ATCAAAAGCCACAGAGGTCAAGGAGTAGTTCTTTCCATGCCTGTAGGACATTTGCACAAGCAGTGAAGCTGGACCCAAACACTCCTGGAAGTTTTCAAAGCTCTGTTCTGTTTTCCTTCTAGGATGGACCAGCACTTAGGCCAATAGCCCTTTGATCCAGGGAATATCTGATTGCCTCTCGGGGGATCCAAAAGGAATATTTCCCCTGCAGGAGCAAAATTGGATCGTGCTTTGCTGGGTTTTTGCCTTCCTCTGGATCAACTGTGGGTATAGGATTATAATAACTTTTTTTTTTTAATGGTTGAACTGGATGGACTTTTGTCTTTTTTCAGCCAGATTGACTATGTAGCACAGGATCAAGCAACACATCCTTCTCTGGAGTCAACACATGCAGTGCGTTGGCCTCATCCGTGGTGACAGAACAGCACATGTGCATGTGTCAGGCTTAGCCAACAGGTCAAGCTCACTCCACGCTTCCCTACTTATGTAAATGGACTCTAGGTATAGAAGGCGCATAAATGTATATTTTTTAATGTTCGATTAGTTTATGGTATAAGTTTTTTTTTTTTTAAAGGTGAACTAACCCGATTAAAGCAGAACCAATGGAAAATAAAGACTATCCCATTTAGGATAAAAATTAAAAAAAGAAGCGTTTTCTGCAATACTCATCTTCAATCCAGAGCTATCCGCACTGTACTTCTCTTTTCCACCATTAGATGTCCTCAGTCTTCAAGCAGGCTGTCATGGACCCGCCCCCAGCCTGCGACTGGCCTGCATAGGAGAAGCAATAGAGAGGTGTCCTTTATATCCACCTACTGATCAGCTTTAATCATTTACACCAGCGGGAGCGGATGCTTTAAATGGGTCACGACACCCAAGGTTGGTAGGAGGGGCTTCCATTCATGTGGCACTCTGATTGGCTGCATAGTGCTGACAGCATTGGGAGCCCATCCTAACAGCTTCCGATCGTCAGTAGTTGACTGTGAGCTGCATGGGCACTGCAAGCTGGTTTCTGTTCAGGGGATTAGGGAAAGCCCCGGTTCCCACTATTGCGACATATAAAGTTGCATGACAAACGGAAACATTTAATTGGGTGACGTCTTCATCAATGCGACTCAAGTCGCAGCTACGTAAGAAGAAGTTCCTGCACTGCTTTTCTGTGTCTTTGGTGTGACTTCAGTGCCATAGATTTCAATGATACAAAAAAAATGTAAAAATTCACAAAAGTCACAAAGATGGTCTTAATCTATAAAACTTTGGCTTTAATTAAAAACCCTCTTAACCACTTCTCATCCAGCCATTGTATATAAACAGCCAGATGGTGGCAGTGCAGGGTCGGGTGGCAGTTTATAAACGGCATCCCCGCCCCCTGCTTGTGCACACTCCCTCCGGACACAGTGGAACACCAAGCGTCGTACGGGACCTCTGTGCAAGGTCCCGGTCATGTGATCACTGATTGACCAATCAGTGATCACATGCAGAGTAGTAAGCAAGATGTCACTTCTGACATCATTGCTTACTACATGTGAAATCTGTGAATGATCAGAGGTCACATGGTACAAGGCTATTCACAACAGCCTTGTACCATGTGACAAGCTGTGACCAATCACAGCTCACATAGTAGTTCTCAATGGCTGCAGGAATGCAGCCAGAGAGAAGGAGAAATTATTGCTTTTACAGCCTTTATGGGTGTAAAAGCAATCAGTGTAAAAAAAAAAATCATCACCACCCACAAGTAGTACAGTGTCACCATGGTTACACTGTACTGCTAGGGTGACAGTATGTAAAAAAAAGCCCCATAAATAATATAAAAAATAAAAAAAATGTAAAAAAAAATGTTTACAAATTCTAATTTTTGGTTATAAACTAATTTGGGGTTTTTTTACTAAAAAGATAACGGAATAAATTTTGGCCAAGATTTATGATGAAATATTATTTGCAAAATTTTATAAGAAAAAACACTTTAAAATGTTTGGACTTTTTCATTTACATAGCAAAAAAAAAAAAAAATCCCAGTGATGAATAAATACCACCAAAATAAAACTGTCTCAAAAAAATGCTAAAAAATTCATATGGATACAGTGTTGCATGACCGCGCAATTGTCATTCAAAGTGTGATAGCACTGAAAGCTGAAAATTGGCCTGGACTGGAAGAGGGCACAAGTGTCCGGACTGGAAGTGGTTAAGTTGGATACTGTTGCATTAAAGTCGCATAGCATCAGTCACATTAAAGTTGCAAACAAGTCATAATGCGAAGCCATTCACCTTTCAAGCTGCAGCAGTGTGAACCGAGTCCTACCCAATCCTTCACTTCTGAAGACTTCTCCATGGTGCCAGACTGGCCCCCAAAGCCTCTTTTTCCCCATGGCTTGGCCGTCTAAGGTCCTCTGATATATCAAAAAAGGCCAATGCAGGGACCATAGCCCTGCGGAAGCGTAGAATCAGGTAAGTAAAAGTGTTTTCCGCCCATCCCCCTATGAAGATAGAAGCAACTATCACCGTGTAAGCACTGCCGCACTTTTTCCAGAGTTTGGCTTTTTAAAGTGTAAAAATGTCTCAGCGCTTGGTGAAAGCTTCATTTAAACCTGATGGAAAGCAGCTGACATGACAGGAGAGGAGCTCCAGTTTGCAATAAGAGCGGTCTGACCTTGGAAAGGGTTCATCTATGAAGTGTGAAGGTCCTCCACACTTCCTTTAAACAACAGCACCATCTAGTGGCAGGAAGAGGAAATGTCACAAGTAAAAAATGCACTTCAGCTGAGCTATGTACAGATTGCACCGCTACGCAGGAGGGTCTTCTTTCACTAAATCCAAGGCTAGGCTGTGTTAGATCGTACAAGAAAAACCTCTTTGGAAGTGTCTAACCAAAAACAGAAATTCTGGTTGCAGTCGTCACCTTCCTCACTGTACTTTACTGGTCTTTTCACCAGTCTACTGGACAGGGGCTGTCTGATTGAAAACAAAAGACACACAAATTGCTCCTGGTAGCCGAAGGTCATGTGATCCTCACTCCCATGTTAGGTTACATGAACTGGGGAGCACCAATTTTATTGCAAGAAAGTACTAATTCTCCACCAAATCCCATCCTTCTAAAGCATGCCGATGCTTGTCCTCGTAAAGTGTGAATTTAGTCTTCCACATATTTTCAAATGCAATTTAATATAAAACATCACTTGCCCTAAACAGCAGAAATTAAACTCTGGATGGGACTTCCAGCATCCTGTGCCAAAGCTGCATCAGACAATGCTTTTATTCCAACATGTTTCAGCTACTGGGATATGTAGGGGTAGGTGTTTAGGTAGCTTACAAGAGGAATGCAGCAGATTAATGACCTTGGCAATAATTTGATGCATGGGGGAAAAAAAAAAGGTGTCACCCTCTTCTGCTGATATAATGAATCACAAAAGCAGCATGATACATCATGCACAGTGGCAGGCAGGGAAAAAAAAAAAAAAATATATATATATATATATATATATATATATATATACAGAGAGAGAGAGAGAGAGAGGGGGGGAGAGAGGGGGGAGAGAGAGAGAGGGGGGGGGGAGAGAGAATATGAATGAATGAATCCTAATTTGTACTAGCTAAAAATGAGAGAGAGAAACAAAACACCAACCAGTACTTTGCATGTTCTCCCTGTGCCTGCGTGGGTTTCCCCTGGGTGCTCCGGTTTCCTCCCACACTCCAAAGACATGCTGGTAGGTGATTTGGCTCCTGTCTAAATTGGCCCTAGTATGTGTATGTATATGAATGTGAGTTAGGGACCTTAGATTGTACGCCCCTTGAGGGTTAGGGACTGATGTGAATGTACAATATATATGTAAAGCGCTGCGTAAATTGACGGCGCTATACAAGTAATATAATAAATGGATATAATGGCGCCTATGAAAAGGGTATGAATGGATCACTATCTAATGTACCAGCTGCAAAATCCACCATATACTAATAAAGTGTGTAACAAAAATCAAAAATATTAAATTTGCGCTAGTAAGTAAATAAATACCCCAAAAAACAAATGTGACTGTGAACATAAATAAAATATATATATAAATAAATATTCACATCAATATAAATAGTCACATCAAAGCCCTCCCTACGCGTTTCGTCATCGACGTTCTCACGGAGTGGACACTCGGTAAGGACGTTGATGACGAAACACGTAGGGTGGGGCTTTGATTGATGTGACGTCATTATGTTTCCCAACGATCGACTGCGCATGTGCCAAGTGGCTGGGTTCGTTCATTGTGTTTCTTACATGCTGTTAACGCTGGTGTCGGCTGGGATACCTTTTGAGTTAAGTGTGATGAGTGCATAATAAATGAAGTTGTTTTAAAGGTACTGCACTATGAAGTTGTTGTTGTTTTTTCCGAGTGTCTGGCATAACACCCTTTGGATATGAATAAGGTGAAGTCTTGGAGAAGTGGATTTCCTTAGTGGTATATTTGATCACAGATCATTGCTTCTTTCACATTGGTTTGTTTGGAGCCGGTTTCTGCAGAATATCATTCCCTGAAGATCTATCCAGGAGTGGCCAGGCTGTCAGTCACGCCTACACTCACAATGCAACGGCATTCAATAACATTCTGGGCTTGTTCGGTAAAGGAGCACAGAGGGAAAAATTTACTGTAGTCTGGTCTCTAAAATATTGTTTCTGATTGGTTGCTGAGAGTTGGCACACTTTGCAGTCTTCTTTAGTGCTTAATCACATGGGCCACCAGGGGGTGGAAAGTAAGTGGTTGAGCCATGGTTTTACCATCCTTGACCACCCACCTAAAAACAAGTGAAACCTGTTGCATCCGGCGGGCAGTACTGCCATTGAACATGACCCATTAGAGTTAATGGGGCCGCGCTAAGTCCTTTAATCCAGGCCGTGAGAAGGTGATATATCACCTCTCAGCTGCCTGTCAACCAACCTCTGAAAAGCAATCAGATCACTTATTTGATGAGCAGCCAATGCTACCGCCTTTGTGGACAATCACTCCTGAAGAAGCTGATTAGTATTTATCTCACAGGTGAGCCACCAGCTAAGCAACATCATGGACCTCTTCACCACCAGCCTGGCACTGGCAGGACTAGATCCTCCTGAGGACAGGCCTATAGATGGCATTGACCTATCGCCCGTCATGCTGGAAGGCAAAGTGACTGACAGGTGAGGTCTTTCATTGATATTCCCCAGTTCTTCATTGCCATAGTCTGAGATGGAAGCCCGAGTTGATGCATTTATTTCTCATGGAGACTCACTTTTATTATTGGCCATACACAGAGATCTGCACGTCAAGTCAAAAACAAAACACCTGCATGAGAAGCCTCAGGTGGAAGAAATCATTCTTTGACTACTGGGCCAAAAGCTGGTTCCAAGAACTTGATGACACCGGTACCAGACTTAATAGCTTCACTAACTCAGAACAAGCATGTCCAAAAATCAGAGATTTACAGTTTTTTTTTCAGATACTTCTCATTTGGACTTGTTGTCATAGGTTTCTTTAAAAGGGTTAGTTCACCTTTACCACAAAAAAAAAAAAAAAAAATCTATGCAGGTAAAGGGCACCTGTGGATAAATTGTGCAGCTCTGACCAAAGCTGAATACTGGCCTTGCAATAGGTATAGGCCATTTATGTACCTCCTGAAGCCTGGCCTAAACATTTCCAGAGATGGCGTTCTACCATCCTGCGTTGCTGAAGGAAAGATTTGCACATATTCTCCATGGCACATGGATGGTGAGAATTGATGGTCTAGATCTGCCTGGGCTTCTCCTGGGATACAATCCAAATGTCCTTGGCCATGGATATAGGTGGCAATGGTTGCCTTCAGGACTTGAGCTTTCATTTAGATCTTCCTTGTAGAGCAGCCTTTCTCAACCTTTATGTTAAGAAGGAACCCTTGAAATAACTTTCTGGTCACAGACAACCGCTAATAATAAATACTGTATCTACAACTGTACATTGCTAGGATGATAATGATCTCTACATTTGAGGTTAATGGGAAGAATCCCCCACTTACAGATTGCGAAAAAGATCATTGTGGTCAGTGGGAACTTATTTGAGAGGCAGAAGTTGCTTATTGTTCAAAGAACCCCTAGAAACGTTTGGAGGAACCATAGGGTTCCATGGAACCTAGGTTGATATAGGCTGTTGTAGAGCATCTGGGTAGCATGCACAACGTTTTACATAATTTTTGTACTGTATACAGTGTCCATTCCAAGCCATAGAACTCCTTTACTCTAACACAGCTTTCCTCAAGTAGGGTTTCATGGAACCTCCTCTGGAGAATTTTAGGGCTTCCTTGAGCAATAAGCAATTTCTGCCTCTCAGATAAGTTCCCACTGATGACAATTATATTTTTCGACATCTGTATGTGGGGAATTCTTCCCATTGACCTCAAGTGTAAGGATCATCCTATCCTGCCTTCTCTGCAGTTATGAAAGGGTTACAGAGGGTAACAGGCAGTATAACCTTTGATGTCCACACAGTAACCAGTTGATGATTGATAACCGATGATCTTTTACTGATAACATGTGACATAGTACATGAAGTGTGAATGTGAGAATGAATGAATGGTAAAAACTGAAATACAAACAGAATAAAACAGACATGAGTACATATCTAACTTCCTAGCTATATGCATAACATTCCACAGTACATAGGAGGGGTACTTACAGACTTTGGGGGTCTAATCAAGCCCATATATGAAGAGGGAACATCATCCCACATCTACTCTCATAGTAGAATTTCTTCAGTCTGAAGAGATGAGGTCACTTCCTCCCAAGTTAGCAAACAGGAAGTCCCTGGCCTTAAAGGGAACAGACACTGCTGAATGCTAAAGAATGCCTTGTGTAATACAAGGCAGCACACATCCTTACCATTGCACATCCCATCATTGTACAGCTGTATATACAGTGATTATTATCAGGGGTTCCTGGAGACAGGAAAGTTATTTCAAGGGTTCCCCCATGTTAAAAGTTGAGAAAGAAGGCTGATCTAAAATTGATGGTCTATATCTGCCTGGGCTTCCTCTGGGCTACAATCTAAATGTCTTTGGCCATGAGTATAGGTGGTAGTGGTTGCCTTCAGGCTTGTGCGCTTCTTTATAGGTGGTTCCTGAAGGTGGTTGCCTTCAAGACTTGTGCTCTTCCTTGTAGAGCATTTGAGATGCATACACAACTTTTTACAAAATTTTTTTTTAATTTTGTTCTGCATACAAACTGTCTCCATTCCAAGTCATAAACCTCCTTTAGTCTAACTCAGCCTTCCTCAACCAGGTTTCCTCCAGAGGTTGAAAGAGGTTCCTTGAGCAATAAGCAATTTCTACTTCTCAGATAAGTTCCCACTGACCACAGTGATCATTTTTATTATCTGTTAATGGGGGATTCTTCCCATTGACCTCAAATGTAAGGACCATTCTTACTGTAGCACCCGCCTAGTCAGCTAGGGGGAGCTAGGTAATTATTTTTCTTAGCCTGGCTGATAGTCAGAGGGTCAAATTTGAGTCAGGGCTAAGAGGCTCTGCAGACCAGTTCCCTGATACCTCCCCCTGATCTAGAGACTTGGAGAAGTCTCTAGAACTCAGTGGGCGAGGGTGAGGAGGAGCTGGTTTGCGCTCTTAAGGGATTCTGACCAATCCAAGTAGAAGGCTTGGTATGGGGTCAGAACAGCCCTTAAGGTGATAAAGCCTGTTCAGAGGCAGGGAGAGAACATGGAGTGAGCAGGATCGAGAGTGGAGCCTGGGAGGGGGTCCAGGAGAGAGGCTTTACTTACAGGCAGAGTAGCTGGAAGGGAGGATCTCTCATCCTCAATTGTCCCCTGAGAGAGGACAGCCTGGGAAGCCAAGAAGGATCCAGCCCAGTGTAAGGTCTGAAGGCAGCCACCAACCGACATGCTTGCAGGGGAGGACTGAGTAATCCCACACTCCCTGGGCCGGATAAGGGGAGAGGGCATTATGGTGGGAAACCTGACTAGCCCCCTATCTGGGACTGTTCTATATTGGCAGTTTCTGTGCCCCCTTGCCAAGGGATTCCCTCAGGCAATTGGGTGAAGAGATTTCATCTGGGGTCTGAGGTGGTACACCTGGAGGACTGGAGAGACCTTCCAACTATGTGACTTCACTGACTAAAGAATTTGTACATAGTTGCTAAGGAGTTTTTTCACCGTTCCCTTGGGCATCCCATACACCCCTCAACCCCATCCAAGGTCATTTCCCCAAATAAAACTTAAAAAAAAAAAGCAGCTCAAGGACTGTTTACGCTCTCCTGTATGCAAGTCTGAAGAAAATGTGTGTTGCCGGGCTGTGCAGGACTAAAAGGTTGAAAAAGGTTGAGAAAGGCTGCTCTAACTAAACATCTGCCATGGTTGGAACAGTGAATGTTCCTTTCATCTCACGCCATTATCTCAGTCATCTGTTGTGCTTCCTCCATCAGGCCGATATTTTTTTATCGCGGCAGTGAGATGATGGCGGTCCAACTGGGGCTTTACAACGCTCAATACTGGATTTGGACTAACTCATGGGAAGAGCTAGCTCAGGTATGTTGGAGAACGTCCAACCTATAAAGTGTCAGGACACGTCTGACTTGTTGGCCCCTTGTTAATCTCAGAGACATACAGCCCTGGCCAACAGTTTTGAGAATGACACAAATATTAATTTTCACAAAGTCTGCAGCTTCAGTTTTTTTAGATCCTTTTGTTAGATGTTACTAGGGTACACTGAAGTATAGTTACAACCATTTCATACATGTCAGAGGCTTTTATTGACACTTACATTGAGTTTATGCAAAGAGTCAATATTTGCAGTGTTGACCCTTCTTTTTCAAGACCTCTGCAATTCGCCCTGGCATGCTGTCAATCAACTTCTTGGCCACATCCTGACTGATGGCAGGTCATTCTTGCATAATTAATGCTTGGATTTGGTCAGAATTTGTGGATTTTTTTTGTTCACCCGCCTCTTGAGGATTGACTATAAGTTCTCAATAGGATGAAGGTCTGGGGAGTTTCCTGGCCATGGACCCAAAATTTCGATGTTTTGTTCCCCAAGCCGCTTAGTTATCACTTTTGCCTTATGGCAAGGTGCTCCATCACGGTGGAAAAGACATTGTTCATCACCAAACTGTTCTTGGATGGTTAGGAGAAGTTGCTCTCGGAGGATGTTTTTGAACCATTCTTTATTCCTGGCATGTTGTGAGTGAGTCCACTCCCTTGGCTGAGAAGAAACCGCAAACATGAATGGTCTCAGGATGCTCTACTGTTAACATGACATAGGACTGATGGTGGCGCTCACCTTTTCTTCTCTGGACATGGTTTTTTCCAGATGCCCCAAACAATCGGAAAGGGGATTCATCAGAGAAAATGACTTACCCGTCAGCAGTCCAATCCCTGTACCTTTTGCAGAATATCAGTCTGTCCTGGATGTTTTTCCCAGAGAGAAGTGGTTTCTTTGCTGCCCTTCTTGACACCAGGCCATCCTCCAAAAGTCTTCTCCATACTGTGCGTGCCGATGCCCTCACACCTGCCTGCTGCCATTCCTGAGCAAGCTCTGCACTGGTGGATCTCGCAGCTGAATCAAATTTAGGAGACAGTCCTGGCTCTTGCTGGACTTTCTTGGGCGCTCTGAAGCCTTCTTCACAACAGTTGAACCTCTCTCCTTGAAGTTCTTGATGATCCGATAAATGGTTGATTTAGGTAAAATCTTAGCAGCAGCAACATCCTTGCCTGTGAATCCCTTTTGTGCAAAGCAATGATGACCACACGTTTCCTTGCAGGTAAATTAATATTTGTGTCATTCTCGTCTTTGGCCAGGGCTGTAGGTGGTTAGGTGTTAGAAATAATATTGATTACAGAAATGTATTTGTGATTACTGTGTGTATTTGGATGCAGGGTATTAATTTCTGGAATAACTGGAATTACAACCCATGACCAAGTCGAGCATGACCTCAATCCGCTCTTGTTCCACGTGGGAAGGGACCCTGGAGTGAAGTACCCCATAAGGTAAGGAGGTCACATGGCACCATCATGTCATGTTTTCACCAAATGACAAGTGTGATGATCACACATTTCCTGTTCTGATAAGAGCCATTATGAGGGGCTTGCTTGACCCATAATGATGGGTCAGACCAAACTTTTCCCTTTTAACCCGGGTAGGTATAATGCAGGGGTCTGCAACCTTTAAGACATAAAGAGCCACTTGGACCCGTTTCCGAGAGGGAAAAAAAGACTGGGAGCCGCAAAACCATTGCAACATTTAAAACAAATCCGACACTGCATATATTGCAAAAAACGCTCTGGTCATGAAGGGGGTTTAAGGGCCCAGTAAGCAAAGGGTTAATCAGGGCCACAGTGTATCGTCATAATCACAATCATAGCCTTAGGTCAGTGGTGGGCAACCTTTTTTTTCGACTGAGCCAAATCTCGCCAAAACCACGATTGAAATTTATTTTGAGAGAAACATTTTTAAAACTGAAAATACATCCCCCATATAGTAATTCATCCCCCATATAGTAATTCATCCCCCATATAGTAATTCATCCCCCATAGTAATTCATCCCCCCCCCCTATAGTAATTCATCCCCCATAGTAATTCATCCCCCCTATAGTAATTCATCCCCCCTATAGTAATTCATCCCCCCTATAGTAATTCATCCCCCGTAGTAATTCATCCCCCCTATAGTAATTCATCCCCCCTATAGTAATTCATCCCCCCTATAGTAATTCATCCCCCATAGTAATTCATTCCCCATATTGTGTGAATTCACTTACCTTTGCTCCGCGCGTTCCTCTCGCTGGGTTCCCGCGCCGTTCTGGTCTTCAGGGCGGACTGTGAGAGGAGAGGAGTTCGAGCTCGTCACCTGCCCCCCGCCTACATCCTGACAGCCAATGTTTGCCAGCGGGCGCCCGGCACACAGAAGATTTGCATTAAAAGAGCCGCGGCTTGCCGACCCTATTGCCTGTCACCTGGTGGGCAGTGTGCTCCGGAGCCGCAGGAAAGGTGAAAAAGAGCCGCATGCGGCTCCGGAGCCGCGGGTTGCCGACACCCGGTATAATGGTACAAAGTCTTCCCGCTCCTTGTTAACTCTTTGCCAGCACTTTTGTGTTGATCCAATCTACTCCGCAATCATGTAAAAAACACGCTGAATAAAGTGTAGTATGTACAACCAAAATATCTTTATTTAAAATAATATATATCCACTCACATTAACAACTTCCAGTCCGGACACTTTCCCCCCCCTCCAGTCCAGGCCAATTTTCAGCGCTATCACACTTTAAATGACAATTGCGCGGTCATGCAACACTGTACCCACATGAATTTTTTAGCATTTTGAGACAGATAAAACTTTATTTTGGTGGTATTTATTCACCACTGAGATTTTTATTTGTTTTGCTATATAAATGAAAAAGTCCAAAACTTTGAAAGAAAAAGCATTTTTCTTGTAAAATTTTGCAAATAAATCTTTCTTCATAAATCTTGGCCAAAATGTATTCAGCTATCTTTTTAGTAAAAAAAAAAAACCCAAATTAGTTTATAACCAAAAATTATAACTTTTCAAAAACTTTTTTTACATTTTACACTGAGTCAAGGTGCCGCACGCTCCCAGGGAGTGCGCACAGGCTGTAGATGTGGGCGCCGTTTATGAACGACAACCCGCTCCTGTACTGCTTCCGTTCTGCCATTTATGTACATGGGATGGCCGGACGGGAAGTGGTTAAAAAGTGCCCTCCTGGGACACCAGAGGGTTAAAAACGCACTATACAGTGCGCCAAGTTGAATACATGCTGTAATCCCTCTTGCAAAATGGCGACATGTAGACTTCCGGTTTATGACTTGACGTCATCGACGTACCCTACACGTTACATCACAACATGTGACTTCATCAGGAGTTCAATCACAGCGCACTGTTCTAACAGTGCATTGTGCAGTGCGGCGGGCGAACAGCCCACCGAACACAGGAACGACCGATGTTCGAGTCGAACATCAGGCCCAGCAATATTTGTTATATCTGTTCAGTAAGTGCAAAAACTGTTGATCCTGCCATAAATTCAGAGCTGTCCTGTGCAGACTTCCTGTGTTGTCTCAAGAAGTCTATTTACCCCCCGTCCCCAGTTCTTATTTTGGACTACTGAATAAACTGTGTCCAGTCTGTACAGATAAGAAGAGTGGGAGGATTTAGTTTAGCAAAAGAAAATTGGGCAGGGCTGACACCATGTAGTACTGGATGTATTTTTTTTTCTGCCCTGACATACATTGTTACTGTTCTATCACTGGATTCCTGTAATTTCTGCTTCACCTCCTCTTGCAGTGTATTAAGCAACGAATACCAGCAAGTATTGCCGAGGATTTCCAATGTTGTTACCCTGCACAAGGAATCCATGATCCCTGGGGAGCCACAGCTGAATGTGTGTGACCTGGCTGCCATGGTGAGTGTGCTCAGGTGACATCCATCTCTCATAAATGGAGCAGCACAGTGGCTAAGTGGTTAGCACTTCTGCCTAGTAGCACTAGGGTTGTTGGTTCGAATCCCACCTGCCTGGAATTTGCATGTTCTCCCTGTGCCTGTGTGGGTTTCCTCCGGGTACTCTGGTTTCCTCCACACTCCAAAGACATGCTGGTAGGTTAATTGGATCCTGTATACATTGGCCCTAGTAAGTGTATGAATGTGAGTTAGGGACCTTAGATTGTACACCCCTTGAGGAGTATGAATGTGGGGTCTGGGGAGAGCGGATATAATGAATGCGGGGTGAGCGGATATAGTCAATGCGGGGTCTGGGGAGAGCGGATATAGTCAATGCGGGGTCCGGGGAGAGCGGATATAGTCAATGCGGGGTCCGGGGAGAGGGATATAGTCAATGCGGGGTCTGGGGAGAGGGGATATAGTCAATGCGGGGTCCGGGGACAGCGGATATAGTGGATGCAGGGTCCGGGGACAGCGGATATAGTGGATGCAGGGTCCGGGGAGACCGGATATAGTGAATGCAGGGTCGGGGAGACCGGATAGTGAATGCAGGGTCCGGGGACAGCGGATATAGTGAATGCAGGGTCCGGGGACAGCGGGATATAGTGAATGCAGGGTCCGGGGAGACGATATAGTGAATGCAGGGTCCGGGGACAGCAGATATAGTGAATGCAGGGTCCGGGGACAGCGGATATAGTGAATGCAGGGTCCGGGGACAGCGGATATAGTGAATGCAGGGGTCCGGGGACAGCCAGTGTCCCCGCGGATATAGTGAATGCAGGGTCCGGGGACAGCGGATATAGTGAATGCAGGGTCCAGGGACAGCGGATATAGTGAATGCAGGGTCCAGGGACAGCGGATATAGTGAATGCAGGGTCCGGGGACAGCGGATATAGTGAATGCAGGGTCCGGGGACAGCGGATATAGTGAATGCAGGGTCCGGGGACAGCGGATATAGTGAATGCAGGGTCCGGGGACAGCGGATATAGTGAATGCAGGGTCCGGGGACAGCGGATATAGTGAATGCGGGGTTCGGGGTTTAGTAACACTTTAAATCTGAATATCACTTTAGTTTTTTTTTTAAGCCAATGGCGCCCTCTAGTGTGTGATTTCATAAGAGCAAACGAACAGCAGGAAAAACATAGTTCAATAATAAATATGTAAAAGAAAAAATGATGTCTGCTTTATATGTTTGATTGCACCGTACTCACTTTTGTTGCCAGCGGTTTAGACATTAATGGCGGTGAGTTATTTTGAGGGGACAGCAAATTTACATGTTATACAAGCTGTACACTGACTACGTCACATTGTAGCAAAGTGTCATTTCTTCAGTGTAGTCACATGAAGATACAATCAAATGTGAGGGGTTGACTCACTTCTGGGAGATACTGTGTGTGTATTATATATATATATATATATATATACATACACTTTGTATCTAGCTCTGCTTTAGAGGGTCACATGGCTCGATAGAATACTAAACCTTTCTGAAGGAAACAAATGCCTCCAGACTGAAGCTGTCCTGGGAAGACCGGCGGCTAAATCGCAGCCCCGAGGGTTCGAAGAGATTGTTCCTCCAGCATCATCAATGTCTGTAATGATGTTCTCCTTCCCTTTTGCTCTGCTTCCTATCTGAGTGACCTCAGTAGATCTGTCTGTCTTCCAGAACTGGTCCCCCCCCGGGATGTGAGAAGATCGGAAGATGTCTGAGCCCACCCGAGTCAAAGCCTTGGAAATGCGTCTGGCCTCACTGAGTTGTTCCCATAATGCAGATATCAGGATCAGTTCACAGAGAGACGACTTACCTGCCAGGTGTCATTTCATCCCATTATCGTTGCCGCAACACATTCTTCACTGTACAGAAGTAAATTCCGCATTTGGTGTGGACTTTTAGAGGCCATAAATGCCTAATTCTCCCAAATCAGTAGCATGCTTGTTATACTCATTGTGGAACCTAAGGGGTTAATCCTTCACATTGTGTAAAAAAGGCTGTTTGATCCTGTCTTCTCTGATCCTCCCCTTCTTCTACTGTTCCAAATCCATGTCCTGATAGAACAGAGCCTTGGGGGCAGGCTGCACATGCTCAGTTTGGTGTGTATTGCTAGAGAGGTTTTTTTTTTCTTCCTTGGGAGAGTCCATGTGATTAGCACATGGCCAATCAGTACTGTCCAGACAGAAGGTCAGGGGTTATGCAGTCTCATAGGGGAGAATGAAAACTCCTCCTACAAGCTTTAACCAGTGCTCTGCTGGACTGATAGAAGTCAAAAGACTATTATATGAGAAAAAGTGTTTAGCAGATTAGAAAAAGCAGATTAGTGTTTAGCAGATTATATTTACTAAAATAATTGCATTTCCATGTTCTGTGTACTGTGGGAGAGCAGATATAGTAAATGCAGGGTCCAGGGAAAGTGGATATAGTGAATGCGGGGTCCCGGGAGAGCGGATATAGTGAATGCAGGGTCCGGGGAGACCGGATATAGTGAATGCAGGGTCCAGGGTGAGCGGATATAGTGAATGCAGGGTCCGGGGAGACCGGATATAGTGAATGCAGGGTCCAGGGAGAGCGGATATAGAGAATGCGGGGTCCGGGGAGAGCGGATATAGTGAATGCAGGGTCCAGGGAGAGCGGATATAGTGAATGCGGGGTCCGGGGAGAGCGGATATAGTGAATGCGGGGTCCGGGGAGAGCGGATATAGTGAATGCGGGGTCCCGGGAGAGCAGATATAGTGAATGCGGGGTCCGGGGAGAGCAGATATAGTGAATGCGGGGTCCCAGGAGAGCAGATATAGTGAATGCGGGGTGAGCGGATATAGTGAAGCGGGGATAGCGGATAGTGAATGCGGGGTGCGGGGAGAGAGCGGATATATAGTGAATGCAGGGTCCAGGGAGAGCGGATATAGTGAATGCGGGGTGCGGGGAGAGCGGATATAGTGAATGCGGGGAGAGCGGATATAGTGAATGCGGGGTGCGGGGAGAGCGGATATAGTGAATGCGGGGTCCGGGGAGAGCGGATATAGTGAATGCGGGGTCCGGGGAGAGCAGATATAGTAAATGCAGGGTCTGGGGAGAGCGGATATAGTGAATGCGGGGTCCGGGGAGAGCGGATATAGTGAATGCGGGGTCCGGGGAGAGCGGATATAGTGAATGCGGGGTCCGGGAGAGCAGATATAGTAAATGCAGGGTCCGGGCAGAGCTGATATAGTAAATGCGGGGTCCGGGGAGAGCGGATATAGTGAATGCGGGGTCCGTGGAGGAAAGCCGACCTTACTGCGGAGGTGGGGGCGCACATGGGGGCCTGGGTAGCAGGGGGAAATGTATGGTGCACAGGGAGGGTGATGGGTGCACTGGGGGGAAATTCCTGGTACCGATCCCCTGTATAGCTGTCCCTGCAGCAGCTGAAAGCCAGTGGGAGTAAGAGGAAAAGAAGCCACTTTGAGATGCTGCAGAGAGAACCATACAGGGGATCGGTTCCAGTAATTTCCCCTCTGCCATGCCGATCACCCTCCCTTCCCACATCTGATTCACCCAGCTGCCTGGGCCCCATACAGGAGGACTGGCGGTACTCCCTTATCCACAGCCCTGCTCACCAATACTGATACTAAACCCAACACATTCCCCCAAACCATGGATCGGGTTCCTAGCTGAGCTCCCAAATGTAGGTTCATCAAAGGATGTGTATGAGGCGCACATCACTCTGCCAGATTCCTGCATTCCCACCTCGCCATGGCAATCCACTGGATCTATACATGAAGCTCCTCCAAGGGCTGAGATTCAGCAATTCCATTGGAAGTCAAATCATCGTCAGATTTATGGGCAATGTGAAGAGGACCTGTCTGTTCTCCAATAGACACAACGTATATACAATGTATACCCCATCCTGGTACACTCTGGACATCTGCTGTAGTTGTCGGACCTCCCATTGGACCTTTTATGTTGTGGGATTATTAGCCTGCTGGACAGGCTCACTGCACTGCTGAGAATCAAAGAACTGCGTTCGCTGAAGATTGACACAAAAGTTGAAATATGTTACTGTCTGAGATGATGTTACAATAAATGTTATTATTTAAAAAGATCGGATTGTCCGACCCAGTGTCACCCTGTCTTCTGAGCATGCCTCAACACTCCCAGGACAACCAGTCAGGGGCGGGACAAGGGGTGGGCAGGAGGGGCAGCTGCCCTGGGGACAGCGGAGGAAGGGGGCAGAGAATGGATATACAGCAGTAAACCTATTCTAGGGCATGCATTAATAGTGGGGGAAGGGGGTGCAGTGCCAGAAGCTTCAGTAAATAGAGTGCAGGGGTATAATGAACATAGATTAAGGGTCCTACACACTCTGCCCCCCCCCCCCCCACACACACACACACATACCCCATTGGTATACCCTTCACCCCCCTGCAAATATACCCCAGAGTAACATCCCCTGCTCCTCTATATATCCCCATGTTAAACTCCCTTCCCCCCCCATAATCCCCAGTGTTACACCCCCTGCCCTTCCCATAATCCCCAGTGTTACAACCCCCTGCCCTTCCCATATACCCCAGTGTTACCCTCCCCCATCCACATATACCCAGTGTTACACACTATGTCCCCCACATACCCCAGTATTACATCCCTGACCATATACCCCAGTGTCACACCCCCTGCCCCACATATACTCCAGTGTTACACTCCAACCCCACACATACCCCAGTGTTACAGCCCCTTCCCCCCACATATATCCAGTGTTACACCCCCCTGCCCCACACATACCCACCCACATACCCCACACAATCCCAGTGTTACACCAGTGTTACACCCCTTGCCCCACACATAATCCAGTGTTACACCCCCTGCCCCACACATAATCCAGTGTTACACACCCCCTGCCCCACACATATAATCCAGTGTTACACCCCCCTGCCCCACACATAATCTCCAGTGTTACACCCCCTGCCCCACACAAACTCCAGTGTTACACCCCCTGCCCCACACATAAACTCCAGTGTTAAACCCCCTGCCCCACACATAATCCAGTGTTACACCCCCCCCCACCCCACACATAATCCAGTGTTACACCCCCTGCCCCACACATAATCCAGTGTTACAGCCCCCCTGCCCCACACACATACAGTCCCCCCTGTTACAGCCCCCTTCCCCACACATACTCCATTGTTACACCCCCCTACCCCACACATAATCCAGTGTTATACCCCCTGCCCCACACATACTCCAGTGTTACACCCCCTGCCCCACACATATGCTAGTGTTACACCGCCTGCCCCCCCCAAATATCACAGTACTACAACCCCTGACCCCCACTTACTCTAGTGTTACACCTCCTGGCCCCTTATACCTCAGGATTTACACCCCTTGTCCCCGACTTATACCACAGCATTACACCCCTTGTCCACCATGTCATTGGTCTCCGCTGTACTTCCATGGGTGATGAGCTGTCAGTGCCCACACAGCTGGTGTAGCAGGGGAATCTTCCTGGTCCAAGTGTGAATGTTTGGTGAAACAAACAAGAGATACCTGTGCTCAAATCCCAAATGCTAGTGCATGCATTTATCCATCAAGTGCTAAAGGGGTGTAACCACATATTAACACTAGAAATTCTCAGGACCCTCTGCACACTGGTATATATACCCTTTCAAGCGGCTGGCCAACTGCGTCAAAGTAATCCCTCTATGGCCAGTCCTACCAGCTTAAGCATGTATTGCAATATGTGTGAACTAAATATTCCTATTTATTGCATAGTCTGCTAGAAAGGGTATATACCAGTGTGCAGAGGGGCCGTCAGAACTTCTAGTGTTTGGTGAAAGTCACATTCACTGTTTCCCTCTATGACCCACTCTTCTAGAGCCACCCACCAAGAGGGAAAAGTTTGCTTCTATGACCCATTCTTCTGGAGCCGCCCACCAAGAGGGGAAAAGTTTGCTTCTTCTATGACCCACTCTTCTAGAGTCGCCCACCAAAAGGGAAAAGTTTGCTTCTATGACCCACTCTTCTAGAGTCGCCCACCAAAAGGGGGAAAAGTTTTGCTTCTATGACCCACTCTTCTAGAGTCGCCCACCAAGAGGGGAAAGTTTGCTTCTATGACCCATTCTTCTGGAGCCGCCCACACAAGAGGGAAAAGTTTGCTTCTATAACCCACTCTTCTAGAGCTGCCACCAAGAGGGGAAAGTTTGCTTCTATGACCTGCTCTTCTAGAGCCACCCTCCCAAGAGGGGAAAGTTTGCTTCTATAACCCACTCTTCTAGAGTCGCCTCCCAAGAGGGGAAAGTTTGCTTCTATAACCCACTCTTTTAGAGCCGCCCACCAAGAGGGGAAAGTTTGCTTCTACAACCCACTCTTCTAGAGTCACCTCCCAAGAGGGAAAAAGTTTGCTTCTACAACCCACTCTTCTAGAGTCCGCCTCCCAAGAGGGGAAAGTTTGCTTTTACAACCCACTCTTCTAGAGTCGCCTCCCAAGAGGGGAAAGATTGCTTCTACAACCCACTCTTCTAGAGTCGCCTCTTAAAAGGGGAAAGTTTGCTTCTACAACCCACTCTTCTAGAGTCGCCTCCCCAAGAGGGGAAAGATTGCTTCTATAACCCACTCTTCTAGAGTCGCCTCCCAAGAGGGGAAAAATTTGCTTCTAAAACCCACTCTTCTAGAGTCGCCTCCCAAGAGGGGAAAGTTTGCTTCTACAACCCACTCTTCTAGAGTCACCTCCCAAGAGGGGAAAGATTGCTTCTACAACCCACTCTTTCTAGAGTCGCCTCCCAAGAGGGGAAAGATTGCTTCTACAACCCACTCTTCTAGAGTCGCCTCCCAAGAGGGGAAAGTTTGCTTCTATAACCCACTCTTCTAGAGTCGCCTCCCAAGAGGGAAAGATTGCTTCTATAACCCACTCTTCTAGAGTCACCTACCAAGTGGGAAATATTTCCTCCTATATCCCGCTCTTCTAGCGCCACCAACAAGAGGGGAAAGTTTCCTTCTATCACCTGCTCTTCTAGAGCCTAGGAGCGCTTGGGCAGAGAGCATGGCCGGCAGTTTCTCTGTGTGGGACTCTGCCACATCATGAATGATCCTTCATCTGAGGGGGGGGAGGAAGAAAGGACAGAGGAAGATGCTGGGTGTCTGGAACCAGTATAGCAGCTGAGTTGCGGGCCCTTCCAGTGTTCCTCTCAGACTCAGTCCCTTACTGCAAGCTGGCTGGCGGCTGCTGATCACTGTGGAGTTCCAGCCCTCCACTTCCCATTCATCAGCGGAGGAAGGTAATGTCTGACTTTGATGTCTCGTGTCTGTGTGAGTGGAACCCGGCCGGTTCGGCCATCCATCACATGTGCAATGTGTCAGTAAGTGATGACATCATCACGATCCCACATCCTGCTCTTCTAGCGCGTGCTGGGCCTGCTGATCTGTGTCAGTGTTGGTGGTGGTGTGTTGTGTCTAATCTGTCACTGTGTGGGATAGGTGAGGTGTTCTCTGTGTGTTTGTGGGGCTGGGCTGTCTGCTGTCACAGCGTTTTACCCCCCCCCCCCCCCCCCAATTGCCTGGGGAATTCCAGCCTGAAATCTGTCAGGGCTATCTTATGCTACTTACTTTTGCAAATTAAAAGAAATGCAGCAGTTTCATGTTTTGTTTGTGTATTATTTTCTTCTGCCTTTACATTTTTTTTATTTTATATTTTTATTTGGAGGGGGGGGGGCACAAGTAGCTGGTCCTGACTAGGGTGCAAAATAGTCTAGCAATCCTCTAGCCTCCAATGACCCTACCTTTCAGAGCCACCCAACAAGAGACGAAAGTTTCCTCCAATGACCCTTCACTGTAATCACACTGCTGTGGATGGCTGTGCTGTGCAGTGTGCCAGAGCTGACAGGGAGGAGGACTGTTAATAAACAAAACAGTCCTCCTCTCCGTCAGAGATCATCGGAAATCACTGGGCGCCGGTGAGTAATTACGATCTGGGGCCTGGTGATTGACAGCTGCGGCTGCGAATGGCAGCTCAGGTAGGGCGCGTGTGCCCTCTACCCGGGAGATGCAAAATAATGTACACATGTGTGATTTTTCGCACCCGTGCCGCCCTGTAGCAGTATTTCTGCTATAGGGTGGACAGAAAGCAGTTAATGTGACATTCTGATTGGTGTCAGGTGTTCAGATGGGTGATCCCATCGCTGACAATTAGTCGAAATCCCCAGCAGCAGAAATGTCCTCTGGAATCACTCCTTCTGTAGCCTAGGCAGTGAGATGACACTCCCATCGCTAGCAATGGAGATTCTGCAATGTTTGATCCAGCAACAGAACAACATCTTGCTGTGTCTGTCTAGAGGGAATGATTCCATAGAGACGGGCATGCAGCACTAGGCATGGAGCCTAGTGATCCTGACACAGGAGATTTGCTGGCTTCCCATCACACATCTGCCTATATGTCTACAATACATCTCAATTCCAAAAAGTCAGACACACACACAATTACATAGTTAGTCTGGCTGAAAAAAAAGACAAAAGTCCATCCAG